GAGGGGGTTCCAGCAAATGGCGGCTGCAACTGGCGATGGTGCTGCCATTTCCTGTGTTACTACTACTACTATTATTATTGTTGTTGTGGGTTTATGATTATTTTTATCCCAACCTTTATTCCCAAAGGTAATTTATGTTGAAGGGCTCATAGGCACTCCAAAGTTAGGGAATATGCCAAAGCAGAGACCAGGCTGGCCAGATGGTGCTCCTGGGGTCTCCGGTGACCCCTGGGACCCTAGTTTGGTCAACATGTACGTGTTAGGATGAGGGACAGGGGTGTACATTTGGAACTGGAAAAAGTACCTGAAACTCCTCAAAAAGATCTAACTATTTAGATGGTCATTGGAACAATTAAAAGTTCTGATCCATTAGGTCATAAAAGATAAAAAGAGAAATTCACACAATGAAAACAACTATTTAAATTATTCACTTTATCTTTAGTGACTTATATTGCCCTAACTTACAAATTTAGTTGTGCTAGGTATTTTTCTCAATAAATTAAATACTTTTCTTTTTAGCACCAACTGTGTGTCACGTATTGTGCTAACATGGGGATTTTACTGTCGTTGTATGGTTCTAAAAGGCCGAGATCTGGCCAAGTATAGTGACATGCACCTACAGTCCCAGCTACTTGGTTAAAGTGGGGGAATCACTAGGTATCTAGGAATTCAAATCCATTTTGGGCACACATAATGAGACTCCTATCTCTAAAAATAATTAAAATAATGACTACACAAATAAACAAGCAATTTGGTTAAAAACAAAAACACAACCAAAAGCAGCGATCTGCTCCCTAGTTAATCTGGGACAAATATTACAAGTTCAGAATGTCCCGACCAGAAATGGTCTCTCTGTCTCATAGCTTGCCATATTCATGTGCCACACCCTAGACGAAGCATGTAGGATAAATCAGTGAACAGAAGAAAAGATTCCTGCTTCTATAATGCTTCCATTCTGGCAGGTGGAAATGATAAAAAATAAATCTAAAAAAAAAAGGGGGAAATGAGACAGCAGAGTAGCCAGGGCAGGCATCCTTGGGAAGGTGACGTTTGAGTAAACGCTTACAGAGCGTAAAGGGAGGGAGTCAAAACGCATCCTGGGAGATGCAGAGCCGCAGTCTGAAGGTCCTCGGGCAGGAACACAGCTGAGTCACCAGTCAGTTCCGTGGGGTGAGGAGGTGAAAGCAGAGGAACAGCCCAGGCCCAATCACATGAGCCACGGCAGCAGATAATGTTCTCAGAACAGCATGGCAATATTTTTGGTCCCACAGTCTCCCAGAACCTCACCACTCCCCATAAAGAGAAGAAGACTATTTCCCTCCCCTCAAATCTGGACATGCTGTGTCTGTTCCATCCCACTGAGTATGATGGAAGGGATTCTATATAACTTCTGAGGCCAAAGGCCAGCTTCTGTCTGGCTCTGCGCCCAGCCACCATGTTGTAAGGAAGCCCAAGCCATGTGTGTGTTTCAGCTGACAGCCTGGGCAAAGATCTCGGCCTACAGCCAGCATCAACCTCCAGATATACGAGTGAACACGATTTCAGATGATTTGGCCTTTAAGTATGAGGGACCAGGCACCACAGAACAGAGACAAGTTGCCCCCCATTGCACCCTGTCCAAATTTCGGACTCACAGAATTCATACACTTAATAAATAATGCTGTTAAGTCACTAAGTTTAAGGATTCTCTGTTACAAAACCACAACTAAAGCCACTGTCAAGATCTTGAGTATTCAGAGTGAGGGAAATACCGCAAAAGAAGAAAATGAGATCTACTTAAGGCTGGGAATAGACCGTAGAAGGATGAGGTGGAAGCAGAAAGACACGGAGGCTTGGCCAACATTCAGGAAAGGCGATGGGGATACAGACGAGGAAAAGTACCGTTTTTTTCCCTTACTCATTACCAGGGTCATGGCTGCCACCTCTATAACAAAAGACAGAGTAACTAGAGAAAACCCTAACAAGTTTCTTTAATCTAAGTTGTACATGACATAGAACTTTCAGAAATGAAGATCCAAAGACCTGGAGAAAACCTGGTACTTTTATGCTTTGGTTCATGAAGAATTGACAGCAATGTAGAAACGGGATGGGATGAAAAAGGTGGGATCTACTGGTAACAAACGGGGGGATTTCGTAATGGCCTGTTTGCTGAGATCCTTCTTGGCCTATCTATGAAGCATTCCTCTCCTGCAGCTATGGTGCAGGCACTTGTCACATAGGGTCTTTCATGCTAACCCTGCTTCAGGGGAGTTAGGTCAGAGAATTCCTCTGTAGCAGCCGTCACACAGAAAGGTGTGGGAAGATCGGAGAGTGACAAACAGTGCTTCTTCCTTCTGTTTTCTCAGCTTCCAAGGTGCGAAATTTTGGAGTAGCATGTTCTAAGCCCTAACAGAGCCTTAGACTAGAGAGTCAGCAGCAGTTGGGGATAATGTGGACAGATTTGGGGTATACTTTAAAGGTACAGACAACAGGATTTCTTGGTAGGTTGAATGTCAGGTATGAGAAAAAGAAAGAAGTCAGGAGTGACTATAGATTTTGCCCAGAGCTATAGAAAAAAAATAGAATTGCCATCAACTGAGATGGGAAGAATGATAAATAAAACAGGTTTGGAGAGTCAGGTAAGAGTTGAGTTTCAGACTTGCTAAATTTGAGAAGTTCATTAGACGGCCCAGTGGTAATGCCAATTATGAAGGGAGATGACTGAGTCTGGAATTTGGGAAAGTTCTGGAATGGGACGGACATTTGGGACAGGATTTGAAACAATGAGACTAGACGCTATCAGTCAGGCAGTGGAGGAGTAACCTCAGGAGCGCTGGGTGGTCATACACAATGACGTTGTTTATACTGTGCTAGCCCCTTCCCTGAAAGACACAGCACCCCCCTTGAGGAAAAGAAAGCCATATTCTCATGTTCAGAAATAATTCAGATGGTTATCAAACTAATTGTTTTGTTAATAAAAGGAATGCTAAATCCTTGGCTCACCTAAGCACCTGCAGGACAGTGGGTGACCTGTGGGACCTGTGTGAGAACGTCCAGCAGTTTCAAGTGCTTTCCCCTTGCCTGGACGCTGCCACCCAAGGAGGATGCTGTGGCAAAATAGCACCTTCGCAAGACCCAGCCAGGCAGCCTGAAAGTACCTTGCAGGTATTCAAGTTGATTTGCCGTCTTCAAGATGTCCATGTCCATGGCTGTGGACATGGCCGTTAGGCTTAAACACCCTAAAGAAGGTGCTGCAGACACAGTGATGGAGAACAGCTTTCACGCTTCCTTCTCCCCTCCTCCCTCACTCTTCCTCCCTTTCCCTACCCTCTTAGGTCCTATGGAAATGTTGGGGTGTGAAGCAAGGTTCCAAGAACTGAGGAGGGTACTAAGAGAAACACTGCTAAAGGTCATGTCCAAAAAGCATGAGGACCGGGGAACTCCTGGCCTCCTGATTAGGAAAATGCTGAAATACATTCCCTTCTCCCGTTTTCAAAGGAAATCTGATATCCAGATTTAGTTCATCATCTCAGAACATAATTTGTAGAATTAGTCTCATGAACCCGATTAAACAAAAGGTGATTGAAAACTAACGCGTAAATCTGGGAAACATTTAGCTTTGTGCCATGGCACGAACACAGTCGGAGCTAGAGGACCCTCATCTGGG